CCCAATTTTTAGAAATAACCACTGTTGATAGTTTTAAACCTAATTTTTTTTTTTATGTTTCAGGCATTTTAAAACTAAATAGGGCATTTCAAATAAAGTTGAGGGCCCCTCTCTCCTGAGTTTCTGTGTTTTAATGTTCTTGGTACAATAGAATTAAACATCGTCATTCCACAGGTTTAAAACATACAGATCGTATCATATTGTAAACTTCTTTCTGAAACTTAGTATTTGGTTTAACATATTTTTTGAGATTTTTATCTATCTTGACTAATTTTCCCCTTGCTGTGTTTTTCTGATGAGTACATTTCGATTTCTTCTAAAGTCTGCTAAATTTAGACTTATTTCTGACCTCTTATTTTCTGTTGAAAATTACTTTCCTTTGCTTCTTTATGGTATTCTTTCTTGTCTTTTGTTAGATTGAAAAAGTTGTCTGTATTCCCTCTTCCCCCCCCCACCTATGCTTGTTCAGAAGCAGTAGATGGTACTTCCCTTCCTTTAGTAATTACTTAAAAGTTTTAACATACATGAAAAAAAAATTCTAAGTCTTAACTATTTTTGTATTTTTATAAAGGTCTCTGTTGAGCATTTTGAAGCTACTATCTTCTTTTAATTCTGTAGATTTAGGGAATACAAGTGTTTTTTATTACATGAATGAATTGTATAATGCTGAAGGGTTTCTCATGTACCCGTCACCAGAATAGCATACATGGTACCAGATAGGTAAGTTTTCATCCCTCACCCTCCTCCTTCCACTCCCCCTTCTTAGTTCCCAATGTCCATTACACCACTCACTTTATGACTGTATATACCCATTGTTTAGCTCCCACTTACAAGTGAGAACATGTGACATTTTTTTCTCCATTCCTGAGATACTCCACCTATTCTAAAATAATGTTCTCCAGTTCCGTTCAAGTCGCTGCAAAAGACATTCTTTCACTCTTCTTTATTGACCAAGTAGTATTCCATGGCAAATATATGCCACATTTTCTTTATCTACTCAGCAATTGATGGGCACTTAGGGTTTATTCCATATCTTGGTAGTAGTAAATTGTACCGTGATAAGTATTTGGGTGCCTATATATATATAATGACTTATTTTTATTTTCCTTTGGGTAGATACCCGGTAGTAGAATTGCTGGATCAAATGATTCTTTGAGGAATCCCCATACTGTTTTCCATAGAGGTTGTACTAAGTTATAGTCCCACCAACAGGGTATAAGTGTTCCCTTTATATCACATCTATGCCAACATCTATTGTTTTGTGACCTATTAGTAATGGCCATTCTGACATGGTAAAGTGGTATCTCATTGTGGTTTTAATTTGCATTTCTCTGATGATTACAATGTTTAATTTCTTTTCTTTTTTCTTTTTCTTTTTCTTTTTTTTTTTTTTTTTTTGCAGTTTTTGGCTCAGGCTGGGCTTGAACCCGCCACCTCCGGCATGTGGGCCCAGTGCCCTACTCATTTGAGCCACAGGCACTGCCCAGTGTTTAATATTTTTTCATATGTTTGTTGGCTATTTGTATATCTTCTTTTGCAAAAGATCTGTTCATGTATCTTGCTCACTTTTTGATGGAGTTATTTGGTTTTTTTCCTTGCTGATTTGAGTTCTTTGATATTCTGGAATATTCTTTGTCAGATGTGTACAGTCTGGGCATATTTTCTCCCATTCTAGACTGTCCACTTGCTCTGTTGATAATTTCTTTTGCTGAGCAGAAATTTTTAATTAAGTCTCATTTATTTATTTTTGTTGTTGCTGTATTTGCTTTTCAGGCCTGTCATAAATTCTTTGCCTAACTCAATGTTCAAAAGAGTTTTTCTTAAGTTTTCTTCTAGAATTTTTTGTGGCCTCAGGTCTTACAGTTAAGTCTTTCAATTTGGGCACAATGGGCATTCTAACATGATTATTCTAGCCCATGATGGGATGTTTTTCCAGTTGTTTGTGTGGTCTTTGATTTCTTTCATCAATGTTTTGTTGTTCTGCTTGTAGAGATCTTTCACCTCCTGAGTTAAGTATATTCCTAGCTATTTTAATTTTTTGCAGCTATTGTACATGGTAGTGGGTTCTTGAGTTGACTCTCAGCTTGTTATTAGCATGTAGAAATGTTACTGATTTGTATACATTAATTATGTAAACTGAGACTTTACTGAATTTATCAATAAGACTCTAGGAGTCTTTTGGAGGAATCTTTAGAATTTTCTGGATAAGAGTATATCATCAGCAAACAGAAATAGTTTGACCTCCTCTTTTCTAATTTGCATGACCTTTATTTCTTTCTCTTCCCTGATTACTCTGGCTGTGACTTCTAGTACTAATGTTGAATGAAAAGTTGACTTTCAACTTTTTCCTATTCAGTGTGATGATGGAATGGGTTTGTCATACGTGCCTTTTATTATTTTGAGGTTTGTTCCTTATATGCCTAGTTTATTGAGGGTTTTTATCACAAAGGGGAGCTGGATTCTATCAAATGCTTGATATTGAGATGATCATATGGTCTTTGTTTTTACTTTTGTTTATGTGATGAATCACATTTATTCATCTGTGTATGTTCAAATAACTATTATCTATTATACATATCACTGCTTTATGTGGGGTGTTTTTACAAGGATTGCTTTTAAGATTTTCCTTTACATTGGACATGCTGCAGTTTTACTCCAATTTATCTATGTATGGATTTTTCTTTTTTAGTCTGTTTTGATATGGGCTCAGTTTTGATCTGAGGACTTATTTCTTTCTTCAAATTGTAGAATACTCAATTATTGTAGTTTCACATGTTGCTTCTCTAACAATCTATTCTCTTCTTCTGAAATTCCTGTAAGTTTCATTAGCTCTCATCATGATCATCATCATCTATATTTTTTTACCTCCCTGAGCTGTATTCTGTGGAAAGTCATTAGTATAATCACCCACTTCACCAGTTCTTTTTCTAATTGTGCCAGTTGAGAATTTATTCTAGCTATTAAGATTTTTTTAATTTCAATTACAATTTTGTTCCAAGATAGATTTTTTTTTAATCCCATCCATTTCTTCTTATGGCACTTGAGTAAGTTTTTGTACTTTTACATAGCTGCTACATTTTTGAGCAACCTAATCACAAGCAATTTTAATCATAATTAATTTAAAGTCATTGTGAGATGGCTTAATTAATTTATTCTCAAGTGGGTTGACATTCTGATTGTTGATTTGCTCAGTTATTATTTTTGACATTTCACTTTTGTATATACTTGGAAATTTTAGTATGTTATCTCCTGTTAATAAGATATTTTTAAAATATGCCTTTCCTCTTTGTTCTCTGTTTTACAGTTGCCTAAATCCATCCCTTTGACCTACGGCCCTCCCCCCTCACCATGGGCATTTACACTCTTGTTCCACGGTGATATGTGGATATTACAAAGAATGGCTTGACTTAGTTCTTAGTTGTGAGGCTAGTGTCTGCTCACCCTAGGCAGGGCCTTCTTTCAGGGGTAAGAGACCATCATACCAGTGCTGATGCCTGGCGCTCAGCCTGATTCAGGCTTTTGTTTTACAGAGTACTCATAATCCCACTTGTTTTCTGAGATTTGAACTCCTCCTGCCCTGCCTTCTTTGAACACAGAATCAGCGGCCTATATAGCTTCAGCCCTGCTCACTTTTTCACATTTCTGTTCAGCTTTTTGTCTCTAGAAATCCATTTATCAGTCATGCATCACCCTTTCTTCTTTTCTTTCTTTCTATGCATTCTTTTCTTAATAGCAACAATAAAAGATTTGTATGATTTTTGGAGGCACAGAGAAATGTAAAAGCATGAGCTATGTCATCTTGATTGAATGCAAAAATTTGCTTCTTAAAAGTAATTCTTCACATTTCTAAAATACCTATATGCTCCTATAATCAGAATCATATACTACAGTATTGAAACAATGATAGTGTAGCTCAGTATGTTCCTGTTAGACATTTTTCTTTTTTATTTAAAATATGAGATATACATTTTGTAAGCATGCATTTATTCATTTATCAACAAATGTTTGTTGAGGGCACACTGTGTATCAGGTACTGTTCTAAGGGATGGGAATGCAGTAGTGAATCAAGCAGTTTCTGCTCTTAGGGAGCTGACATGCTCTAGAGAGATAGGTGATCTGGAAACATAAGCATAAAATAACAAGTACTATTAAGATGAAAGGACAGTCAGGAAGAAAAGAGTGAAGGTGGGTTTTGATTCAGGAGAGGGTGGAGTGAGCCTGTCTTTTCCATTAAATACAATGATAAATCATAGACTATCTATCTATATGGAAGTGATCTTGGAAATCAAGACGATCCCAAAAAATTGGGGAGCGAGACCAAACCAGCAAAAAGTCTACCATTTTTCTCCCTGGAATTTCCAGGTGTGGAATCAGGTATCCAAAAAGCCAGAAATAAGCCCTAGGCAGAGGCAGAAAGAATATGAGAAAGAATTCTTTCTTTCTGGTGCACTGCTGTTCTTATAGGAAGTGGGCTTGTTAATCACTAAGCTTTCCTTGTTTGACGTGTTACAAGAACCTCTTATAAACTGATAAGAAAAATGGTCAAAAGATATCAACAACAATAAAATATTCTTAAAAAATAAAACGTAAAATAAGTATATAAAAAAGAGAGCTGGCCCACTCCTAAGTTGTAAAGAAGCAAAAATGAGCTCCTACCTCTGATTCCCTGATTTGACAGAAGCCTCTGAAGATGCTATTCAATTCTTATTAGCACTTCAGAAACAGTTTGGGCTTTCATTGCTGTTTTTTGGCCTATGTGTTTGTGTGGTGGTGGTGGTTTTTTAAATATCTAGTTTTAAAAATTGAAAGGAAATGGGTCGCAATAATATCTCTCATTCTCATTTCTTCTTTACGATTTACTATGTTTTTTCATTTTCTACATGTATACTGTGTTGAGTTTATAATCAGAAAAAAATATTTACAGCTATCCAGATACCTTCTTGAAGGTACTTGTTAACCTATCAAGTGACACGTTCCTTTCCTTTGATATTGATGTGTAGGTGTTCCCTCTGGCACATGTGTCCAGCGACACAAATAATATGATGTTAATTAACCCCAAAGGAATCAAGCTCAGTGTTTACAAGAGAAAAGTGGAACAGGCGATTAAGTCCTATGAAAAGTGAGTATTCCTCCTGGCTGCTCTTTAATGGATGTGGAGTTTGTTTGTTTGGGTCTTTTATTTTAGCTTAGCCTTGTTTTGTTTCCGAAGCGATTTCTAAAATTGTTCATGAGGCCTGTCAACAGCAGTGGCAGCAGCTGGCACAAGGTTTCCTGTGTTCCAGGCACTGCATTAAGTACTTTACCTGAACATTTTTGGCAGAGTTTATAAGAAACCATCTTCCTTTTCAAAGTCTATAGACATTGTACATTTTGATGAGATCTTTAAGGTAATGAAATAATGAAGATAGAGTAATGAAATAATGGAGATAAGTATATATTATTGTTAAAAAAATTTGTATCAAGTTCAAGATAATGATCAAGTTGACCACAGTGAAATCTATGCTCTAACATAGCCCCTGTGTCCATTCTGAGACAGGAGCCTCTTCTTGCAGGGACAGAGGACCCCGTCTTTCCCCTAGCCATGCTGTTATCACCTGCCCACCCTGCCCCCAGTGCTCAGTTAATCCTTGGTGCACAGCACTTGCTAAAACTTAGAGCACACCCAGCTTCTTCAGGCAAACCTATTCTTGGTTCTGGAATTTGGGTTTCCATTTACCCTGTGAGTGGGAGAAATGAAAGTCCACGGAAGTTAACAATGTGGCTCAGGTCAGCATGGCCTGCTGACCATCCCTGCCCCTCTAGGATGTCAGGTCCTGACATCAACTCAGCCAGCCTTGTTTTCTCCTTCATCCCCTATTCCTAGCAGGTGTCTGTGTGTGTGCATATGTGCACTCATTTGACTATTCTATTCAAATTTGATATAATTCAAATTCAGTTATTAAAATTCTTCAAATTCAGTCATTCAAAATGCAATATAATAATACCATTCCAATTCTAGTGTAATGTGTTTGGATAATTCAAGTACCAAAGTTCTATATTTGCCTGGTCTGGTACAAGACCACAAGCTAGAGCTTTGAGGCCCAACAGTTTGGGGGGGTTTCATCCTTGGTTCTGACACCACTTTGGGAAAGCCTCAGATTCCTTATTCATAGAACCTGTCTTGTCTCATAGGGCAAGTGAGGATTATGTAAATCACACATAAAGAGCAATTAATGCTCATTACTTAACCCTTTCATTTCCTGAATCTGATGATCCTAAAATGACCTAAAATTCACATACATGAAATGTGACAGTTACACAGCTTCTCCCACTGTGCTGACCTTTTCCCAGGAGTTTCAGGAAGGTTAGGGACCCCCATTCCCAGGCAGAAGAGAAGCTTTCTTACTTAGCAACAAAACCAAAATATAGACATAGTGATTTTTCCCACTTCTTACTTCCAGTGAGCGAATCTGGAAAAAGCCTTTTAGTATCCTCTAGACAAATATTGTCACTATATTATTATTAGTTATTATAATAGTATTCTAATGTTATTAATAACATTAATTTTAACCTGACTGATATCATTTAATAATATGTAAGATTATTGATTAAATTATTTGGTGTTGCTAATTTGATGTTTATATTACATAATTTAACACTATGATTTAATAATACTAATATTAATATGAACATTACACAGCACACAACTTCTTAATATTTTGCATTCAATAGTGTTTAAGACTTTTGTTGATGTAAATATTCCTTTTTTCAATTTGCTCCTCTTTTCTCAAAATATGCAGAATATGAGAAGGAAATGCTTTATCTCCAGCCCACTCCCAAGTAACATTTCTAAGACCTTTCCCCCCAAAAGTAAGCCAGATGTAACCTTATATAACCTCACGTGACCTAAATTCCTATGGTTAGGGACAACTAGGCAAATGGAAAGCTTACAGTCCTTTGGCCAAAATAATGACATAAACCAGTGATTCTGGTCACAGTAGCCATGTGTTAAAGTTCTTCTGTTTCAATATTTTGAGAATTGAGGGAGTAATTTTAGCTTCGTATGTCTGAGCATACTCTTTGAGTGAATACTGCCAGGGCTGGCTAGATTCTGGGGTAATTTTTCTGCAGCTTACTTTGTTTGCAGGCCTAAAGTCAAGGTCAATCTCAGCCTGGCAGGAGAAGCCTCTGTTCTAAACTGACTCTGGAACCATGTTTAGAACCCTCTACTCAGTCTTCAGTTCACTGGGCTGGATGCTTACCAAACTTCTGAAGTGTCACTAGTTACAAACTGTTTTGCAAATGAGTCACTTCTTGGCACAAGTAGATTTCAAAATGAGAGATAGAGAAAGCTAATGAATACAACCCCTTAGCCAAGTTTCAGTCTCCGACAAGAAAAACTATCATTAGTAAAACCTCCAAACAAGAGTCTGGGCCAGCCTCAGAAAAGCCCTTATGCCCTGTACCCTTCCAGCACCCCACAGGGAGGCCCATCATAACACACACGTAACACAGTGATTTTCCTGTGGTTGCCCCCCAACAATGAGGAGCCAGTGGCTTCAGTAGAGTCATTGAAATATCTCAGTGAAGATGGAAATAGAATTACAGAGGTTTTGAAAATGTGCTCTTGGAAAAATGTTTTCTAAAGTATTGAACTGAAATTAGAAGTATATGCTAGAGTTCATCAATGATTTCTCAGCATTTATAAGCCTCATTCTTCAGAACCTAGAGGGAATGAGTTATTCCTGGTCCTTTTATGTATGCCTTTCATCTCAGGGATGCCAAGGGCAGGTGGTGTTGCCCTTATCTTATCAACGAGAAAGCAGAGTTTCCAAAAGCTGTGTAACACAGGATAACACAGCAGCAAAATGGGGACACTGTCATTTGTACCCAGACCCATGTCATTCCAAAGCCTTATCCACACTGCCTTCACTTTCAACATTTAGTTTTAAGAGGATGGTGAATAGGTGGAGTTTTTTATGGAAAAAAGTACACACACAAAAATACCCCCCAAATGCCTAATATGAACCCTTTTAACAAGGGTTAACTTGATAGTTGATAGTTGTTTCATGACTCATGAGTGAAGAAAACCAGTTTCCAAATAGGCCCCAAAGAACCAAACATTCTGAGTGAGACAGAAGCACTGAGCTGGCTCGTTTCCCCCTTCCTGACTTTTTTCTAGCACTTATAGAACATTTACTGTGTCTGACACAGTTCTGTCTATGGGATGATACACACTAGCTCATTGAGTCCTCACAGTGACCCTAGGAAGGGGGAGGTACTCTTATCCACATTTTGCCGGAACAGTTAAGGACTGCCTCAGAGTCTCACAGCTAACCAAGCTTTTGGCCCAGGTACTGTGGCTCCAGAGGCCATCCTCTTAACCCCCACACCGGCCTCCCTTTCTGCGCTCTCATCAGGCTCATGACAGGAGATCAGGACAGGATAACTCCTCCACCAGAAGTGTGTTCTCAGAGCCCTGTCCCATGCTGCTGGGTCCAGTGGTTAGAAGAATGTCTCCTGAGTGGAGACATTTGATTGAAGTAATTTTTCTTTTTTTTTTTTCTTTTTTTTAATGTTCACAAGGTTGGAGCCAGTGTTCTGAGCCCTGCAGTCCAGGAAGCCTGCTTTGGGGTAGTGAACTCCCCTGGATGAACCACTGGCTCCAATCCCCTTCTTTCCTCTTGGGTTGACAGCTTCTCAGGCTAAAGAGAAGTGATGAGCTGTAGTCTCCGCGCTGCCAGCCAGCAGCGGTAGATGAGCAAAACGCCTCCTCTGTCTCACCCTCAGGGGCCTCATTTGGAAAACAAGGTGTTCAGGCTGGTTGATCTCTAAACTGCATCCCAGTACTATTATTTATGACCCTGTTAACCTCTTTTACTCTGAGAATCCAGGCAGAGGAGTATCTACAGAAAGCAAGTCTAAGGTACAGTTTTTTCCTTAGGAACAAAAATGGCGGAAGTAAAGAAATGTCTTAAAACATAGGAATAGTTTGTCTACTGCCTTGGATCAGACTGGGTTTCACCTGACTGAGCTCCTTTAATGTTTGACACAAATGCCACAATGCCGTGAGTCTTCTGTGGCGATGCTGATGAGATGCTCAGATAACAGCAGCACGGTCCAGGGGTGATGGTGCTTAGCTTGGGCTTCCCTGCAGTGCCTGGGGTCAGCCTTTTGTCATGAAACGAAGTATTCCTACTAAATATCATTGTCTGTCTTTTTCTCAAACAGACGCTTGAATAAAATTGTTTGGCGAGCATTATCTGAAGAGGAAAAAGAAAAGTAAGCCATTCTGTTCTCTCCTTGCTTTTTATTTTGGTGGAATTCATGTAACCTAAAATTAACCATTTTAAAGCATATAATTCAGTGGTATCTAGTATATTAAAAAATGTTTTGCAAACTACCACCTTTTTCTAGTTTCAAAACTTTTTCTTCACCCCCCAAAACACCTCATACCCATAAATAACTATAATAAAGTAACTATTTTCCACTACCCTCTTCATCCCCCAGTGACCTGTTAGTCTGCTTTCTATCTCTATGAATTTGCCCACTTGTATATACATCGTATGAAGGAAATTACACAACATGTGACCTTTTATATTTGGCTTCTTTTAGTGGGTTTTCAAAATTCATGCAAATTGTAGCATGTGTTGGTACTATGTGTGTATGTGTGTATAGTGTATATATATATACACACAGAGGGTGGCGAAAATACGTATGCACATTTTAGGAAAGACAAAGACTGTATTAAAATGATAATACTCAAGTCACTTTGACTTCTATAATTACAAGAGATACAAGATTCAATATACAATGATAAGAAATATTACCAGTATATATTGAGTATGACAATTTTAATTCTACATACTTATGGAATGCTTTTGATATTTTAACGTATGCATACAATGTGTAATGATTGAATCAATATATTTAGGCTATCCATCACCTCAAACATTTATCATTTCTTTGTGCTGGGAACATTTAAAATCTTCTCTTCTGGCTCAGCACCTGTAGCTCAGCAGCTAGGGTGCCAGCCACATACACCGGAGCTGGTGGGTTCAAACCCAGCTCAGGCCTGCCAAACAACAATGACAACTACAACCAAAAAATAACCGGGGGTTGTGGTGGGCACCATATAAGTGAGAACACATGAAATTTTTCTGTCTGTGCTTGGCTTATTTCACTTACCCATGTTGTCATAAATAGCAGGATTTCATTTCTTTATTACTGAAGAATATTCCGTTGTGTAATATGTACCACATTTTCTTTGTCCATTCATCCTTTGGTGGACACTGAGTGTAATTCCCAATCTTGGCTATTGTGACTAGTGCTGCAACAAACGTGGGAGGCAGCTATCTCTTCCATTTCCTTTCCCTTGGATATATGAGGGCTGTCCAGAAAGTATTCAGTCATGTAATATGAAAAATAGTATTAACAATGGCTAGATCTTTTAGCAATGGGAATCTTGGATTATATGGTAGTTCTAGTTTGTTTTCTGAGGAACCTCTATAACTGTCCTCCATAGTAGCTGTACTAATTTACATTCCCATCAACAGTGTATGAGGATTCCCAGTTCTTCACATCCTCACCACATTCATTATTGCCTGTCTTTGAATAAAAGCTTGTTTAACTGAGATGACATGATACCTCATTGTAGCTTTGATTTACATTTTTCTGGTGACTAATGATGTGGACCATTTTTTCATAATATTTCTTGGCCATTTGTATATCTTCTTTTGGAAAATATGTATTCAGATGTTTTGCTTGTTTTTAATTAGATCATTTGATTTTCTCCTATTGAGTGGAGAATTTCTTATATGCACATATATCCTAGTTATTAATCCTTTGTTACACGGGTAGGTTGCAAATATTTTCTCCCATTCTGTGGATTGTCCTTTACTTTGCTGTTTTGTTTCCTTTACTATGTAGAAGCTTTTTAGCTTGATGTGATACCATTTAGCTATTTTTGCTTGGGTTGCCTGTTGCTTTGGAGGTCTTACTAAAGAAATCTTTGCCCGGAACAATGTCATGGATCATTTCTCCAATTTCTTTTTAGTAGTTTTATAGTGTCATGTCTTGGATTTAAGTATTTAATCCTTTTTGATTTGATTTTTGTATATGGCCAGAGATATTGATCTAGTTTCATTATTCTGCATGTAGATATCTAGTTTTTCCAACACCACTTATTAAAGAGACTGTATTTTCTCCAAAGTATGTTCTTGCCCCCTTTGTTGAAAACCAGTTTACTGTAGATGTATGGATTTATTTGGGAGTTCTATAATCATTCCATTGGTCTTTGTGTCTGTTTTTATGCCAGTACCATGCTATTTGGGTTACCACAGCTCTATAATATAATTTAAAGTCAGATAATGTGATTCCTCCAGTTTTATTCTTTTACTCAAGATGGCTTTGGCTATTTTGATCTTTTGTGCATCCATATAAATTTTAGAATTACTTTTTCTATTTTTACAAAGAGTGTCATTAGTGTTTTTATATGGATTGCATTGATTCTGTAGACTGCCTTAGGTAGTATGGGCATTTTAACAATATTGACTTTTCCAATCCCTGAACGAACATGAAATATCTTTCCACTTTATGTGCCCTCTTTGGTTTCTTTTATCACTATTTTTTAGTTATCACTAAAAAGATCTTTCACTTGTTTGGTAAAATTTATTCTTAGATATTTTATTTTATTTGTAACCATCGTAAATAGTTAATGGAGTGTTTCTAAGAATTTGCCACTTTCCTCTATGTTATCCAATTTGTTGGTATAATATTGTTCATAGCAGTCCTTTATAATTCCCCTTTTTCCTGTGGTACCAGTTGTAATGTTCCCACTTTCATTTCTAATTTTAGTTACTTGAATCCTCTATTTTCTTCTTAATCAAGGTAAGCATTTGTCACTGTCACTGTTCTTTTCAAAAAAATCCCACTCTTAGTTTCATTGATTTTTCTCTTTTGTTTTTTTACATTCAGTTTCATTTATTTCTAATCTAATCTTTATTATTTCCTTCCTTCTGCTAACTTTGGGTTTCATTTATTCTTTTTCTAGTTCCTTAAACTATAAAATTTGTATGTTAATTTGGGATTATTCTTCACATTAAAGGGTATACCAATATAATTCCCTCTGAGTACAGCTTTAACTGCATCTATACAGTTCGATATACTGTGTTTTTGTTTTTATCTCAAGATATTTTCTAATTACCCTTGTGATTTCTTCAAGACATTGATCTTTTTACATGTGGTTTAATTTAAACATATATGTGTTGGCTCGGCACCCGTAGCACAGTGGTTATGGTGCCAGCCACATACATTGAGGCTGGTGGGCTCAAACCGGCCCAGGCCAGCTAAACAACAATGACAACTGCAACAAAAAATAGCTGGGCATGGTGACAGGCACCTGTAGTCCCAGCTACTGAGGAGGCTGAGGCAAGAGAATCACTTACGCCCAAGATTTGGAGGTTGTTGAGCGCTGTGATACCATGGCACTTGACTAAGGGTGACATAGTGAGACTGTCTCAAAAATATATATATTTTTTTCCAGTTTTCACTTTGTTATCATTTCTAACGTCATTCCATTTTGGTCAGAAAAGACATATTGTATGTACACTTTGAATTTTGTAAAAGTTTTAAATACTTGTTTTGTGACCTAACATATGCTCTATCCTGCAGAACGTTCTATATGCACTTGAGAAGAGTCTATATTCTGCTATTGTTCAGTGTAGTGTTCTGTATATGTCAGTGAGGTCCAACTGGCCTGTATTGTTCAAGTTCTTTGTTTCTGTATTGATCTTCTGTCTTGTTTTCCATATATTATTGAAAGTGGAATGTTGAAGTCTCCTATTAGTGGGCTGCCATCTATTTTGTCCCTTCAGTTCTGTCAAAGTTTGTTTTATATATTTGAGAACTCTGATGTTAGGTGCATATACATTAGAATTGTATCTTCCTAGCAGATTTTTACCGTTATATAATATCACTTTTGTCTCTTATGACAATTTATTACTTAAAATCTATTTTTCAAGTTTACCTATTTTTTTCTTCTGCTTGGTTAAATCTGCTGTTGGACTCTAGTGAATTCTTAAATTTAGGTATTGCATCTTCAGCTCCAGAATTTCTCTTTTATTCTCTGTATAATTTCTTTGTTGTTATTCTCATTTTGTTCATGCATCATTTTTCTCATTTCCTATAGTTGTCTATGTTATCTTTTAGGTCACTGAGCATCGTTAAGATGACGTTTTGAATTCTTTATCAGATAATTAACACATCTCCATTTATTTCCTATCAGTTTCTGGACATTTATTTTGTTCCTTTGACTGGGCTTTCCCCCATATCTTTGTATGCCTTATGATCTTTAGTTAAGAATAGGGCACTTAAAAAAGCAGCCATCTCCCTCAGATTTTACAGATTGGCTTTTTTTTTTTAAGACAAAGTCTCACTTTGTCACCCTTGGTAGAGTGGCGTCATAGTTCACAGCAACTTCAAACTCTTGGGCTTAAGTGATTCTCTTGCCTCAACCTCCCAAATAACTGGGACTACAGGCATCCGCCACAGTGCCCGGCTATCTTTTGGTTGTAGTTGTCATTGTTGTTTTAGGCAGCCCAGACTGGAATCAAACCCGCCAGCCTTGGTGTATGTGGCTGGCGCCCTAGCCGCTGACCTGTAAGCACTGAGCCTACAGATTGGCTTTTTATAAGGAAAAAATCTTCACTACTCATGCCATTTAGAGATGCTAGGGCTCCCTCAAACTTTTTCTTCTCTGAGCTGTGTGTGTAATTTTCCATTTTAAAGAGGTTTATTTCTGTTTTATTCTGGAGCCCGTACTCTCTTGCACCCCTTGGTGTCTCCAGTATTACAATACCTCTGATGCTATAACAAGCTGTGGCACTCTTTTGTTCTCAGTGGCCCTTAATTTAGCACCCAAAAGATATCACTATTCCCATCAGCAAGACAGAGACCAGTTTGGGGGCATCCCCTCAAAAAAATAAGATTTTTGGATGTGTGGTCCACTCTTCTCTCCAAGGGAGAAGCCAGGATAAGGGAGTTTTCTTCCAATTGCACTGTACTCTGTTCCAGGGAGAGAAGTGAGGGTCCAGAACAAGCAAAAGCAGCAAACTGTGTTTGATGGAACTCTTCCTAGTGGTATGTCTGTCTGAGGTGCTGCTACTTTTTAATTGGTTTTTGAATTCTCATAAGGCAATTTGGTCTATATATTGTTAAGTCTATGTCTTTGTGGGGACACAAGGGCCTTGGGCTTCTTATTCCATTATCCTGCTGGTATCATTCCAATTTCGATTTTTAATAAGAATTTTTGCTGTCTTCTGAAGACAAGTTTTGGTTGTGTTTGTGTATTGAGCCCTAGGGTTGTTTTGAGTTTAGATTATACTTTTCTAACATCTGACATCTAAAGAAATAAATGATGCACTCAGCAATAAGAGAATGATAATTATGACATGTTTATTTTTCTCTGCCCTTCTCCTTCTAAGAGTATCTGACTTAGACTGGAAATAGAATCCAGGACCTGGGCCATCACACCACACTAGATTCCTCTGGCGTCCCTCTGCTCATCTGCCATAAAAAGTTTAGCTTCTGTTCCTTGTGGACCAAAACAGCAAAGCTAGAAACTTCAGGCCCTTTTAGGATTCCAAGGGGGAAAGGAGGTCAAAATAGCTAAAATGAGCTGGCATAAGGATTACTGCCCTAAAGCAAACATTTGGATTTTGTTTTGCTTTGCTTTGCTTTGTTGTTCAGAATCACTGCTAATTATACTTCTGTGAAATCCCTTTAAAGCTCCTGCTTATTTCTGCCAGGTGTTAGGCCTACGAAAAAGAAAACATACTCCAAACATGCAAGAAAAAAACCTGCTGAAAAATATTTCGGTCTATCAAACTTCTTTAAAATCAAATAATCAAATGTAATGGGGAGAAGTGCCTACCATAATTCACAGAAATGGTTCATTTTAACCTTTTCAAGCTACCAAAGTCCTGATGGACCAGAGGACATGGCTATGTCCTCTGACTTCTGACTTCTGATCTCTGTCATCTGACATCTGACACCTGTTTCAACAGACATTTCTCGGAGGAAGCTTTACTGAGGACCATCTTACCATATTGTTTCTCTCGGGGCCATTTGCTTCACTTTTGTTTCTTCTTTGTTGTTTTCTAGGTTGGATGCAAACAAACCAATACGGTACTTAGAAAACAAGACAGTTTTAAACCAGGCATTGGAACGGTTGAATTGGCCCATTTCAGTGAAAGAGTTGTCGATGCTAGAAAATGAAATCCTAGCTGGAAAAATGTACATCCATCAGGCCATGGAGCTCCAGGAGGCCGCCAGGAAGAATTATGTGAACAAGGCACTGGCAGAGGTTGGTGCTGTGGGGGTCTTCCTATTTCCTCCCTCCCTGCCTGTCCTGAGTCATTGCCATCCCTATAGTGGCCTTTCTTCCCTCTCTCACCGTTCACCACACTGATTTCTGAAGGCGTTATAGCCAATCCAGTTAAGGTTTTAGTACTTTTTTTCATCAGAAAGGAAATGGCATTTGATTTTACTATGGCTTTATTTTTAAAACAATACATCTTTTAATTGACAAACGAAAGTAAATCGATGTATACTGTAAGGATTAAAATCCTTGACTTTGATAGAAGCCAGACCAAGGACTAGCCCTGGATATACCATCTAAATCAGTGTGTGATTTTAGTAAGTTATTCATTCTCCTTAAACCTAGATGTTCGTACATGTATAATAGCAGTATTAATAGTATCTGTCTCATAGGGTTGTTATGAAGATAAAATGAGCATGTGAAGCACTTAGTATTAAAAGCCCCCCATAAGTGTTAGAAATTATTATTATTAATAAAACCAACCTCCTAAAAAGAAAAATAATTTATAATGTGACTGCCTCGTGGCTACCACTTTAGAGCATTTCCTTTCTGCCTTTTTTTTTTGCAAATAAATGTTTTCATTGCATAGATGCAGTCAGAGTGTCCCTAGTCATTTTATGATCTCCGTTATTTCATAAACTTTCTATGTGTTTTTACTAAATCTTCAGATTGATATGACTGAGGGTTACTCTGGTTCATTTAATTCTTCACTGAATGTTGAGCATTTGGCTACTTTCCAGTTTTCTGCTCTTTCACATAATGTTTCTATGAGACATACGATGCATACAGTTGAACAGTTGAATTATGTTGTTAAGATGTGGTATTAGAAGTAGTATTTCTGAATCAAAGCATATTAACATTTAAGAGGTTCTAAATATATATCCCCAGTGTAAAACCCTCCTTTCTAACTGTGTGTGGCTGTGTCTATGCATCACTATGGTTTGAACCAAAGTGGAACCAAAGTCCATGTGTTGGAAATTTCATCCCCAATCAATGGTGCTTGGAAAAGGAACTTTAAGGGCTCTGCCTTCATAAAAAGATTAATGCCATTATCCCAAGAGTGCATTCCTTATCAAAAAGATGAGTTTAGACCTCTCTTGCACTCCCTCTCTCCTGTGTGGAGCCTTCTGCCAAGTACTGCTGCAGTGAGAAGGCCCTCCCCAGAGGCTAGCTCCTCAATCTTGGACTTTGGATCTATAGCCTCCAAAGTTGTGAGTCAATAAATGTCTGTTTATTAAAAATTACCCAGTCTGTGGTATTCTATTATCCATCACAAAACAAACTGAGACAGATATGGAATAGTTCATCCAAAATCTTACTCAATTCTAGATAATTTTTGAGTATTTACTGTATGATAGTGTAAAAATCATCCCCAAAGGTTTGATCTTTGAGGTTCACTATGTTAGATTTAGTCTTGGCCAAGTGATCACAGGTCTGCTGCTCTAGATTTTGCTGCTTTAGATTCTTGTGTTTGTTTTGTGTATTTGTTTCTCTTTCATTTTATTTTTTGCTCTCAAATCGTATTGTTTTCCTTCTATATAAAAAACTGTCCTTTGTACAAAATGCAAATAACCATCACATCACAAAACATCATATGTTTGCTAATGTTATTCAAACTAAATGACTTCCTCAAAGAATTTGTTCAGGCAGCGTCTGATACCTCCAAACATTTTGCCGTCTGTTGACCTTCCTCCCTTTGATGACCAGGTGGGGTGGGACTAGGTCTGCAGTGTTCTAGGCACTCCCAGTGCCTGAATAGTGCTGGGCAGCTCATAAACATGTGTAAATATTTCAGTGGATAAATGAAAGAACAAAGAGACAAGAGAAGGCAGACTGAAAGGAAGAGAAGATTTCCAGGGAAAGGTAATTCACTTTGAGCCTATTGATTCTTTGGTGTCCATGGCGAGGAAGGCCAGTAGACAGCACATTTGGAGCATAGGAGAGAGGCCTCACTCAGTTAAGCAGACAGATTTGGAAGTCATCTGAGACTGAGTGAGCAAAGAGGAGGAGGCAGCAGAAGGGACCAAGACGGAAAAGTGAGAGAAACAGGAGCCCCAGGACAGAGACCTGCAGGTTGCACCAGCGGTGGGAGTTGATTATAAGCCCTGGCTCTGGAGTCAGGTGGACCCAAAAGCAAATCCTGGCACTACCACTGTGCAGTTATGTGATCTCCTCAGGCCTTCCTAGCCTTGCTTCCTCATCTTTAAAACAGGGAAATCAAAATACCAACCTAAAAGATGGCTGTGAGACAGTGCACCTTGCACACTTGGGACAGTGTGCAGCACCAAGTGCTCAGCAGTAAATGTACTCAGGGTCTATTATCTGCGATCACTGTTCCATCATTAAAGCTTTGATCATAGAGCCTCAAAAAGTCATACAGAAGATTGTCTAAAAGCCATCTGATTCAGCAAAAGGAAGCTCATTAGTGATGTTGACCACAAGAATGCCAGGGAAATGGGGGCTAGGAGGGAGATAGATTGGAAGTCTAGAAGGACAGCATAGGGAATGGAAGACTTTTGTTTCCATATCTTCATAGGAAAAGTGTGGAGAAAGACGGTGGGACAAGAGAGGGGAGCGCACGCAGGAGAAGGCATTTAGTTTGTGCAATGGTGTCACTGGATCCACTGCCACCCCCTTCTTAAGGGCCGGGGCTCTCCCTTTACTGCCCTGCTCCTGCAGAAGTTGTCCAAAGCCCCCACCCTCTGTTCAGAGGAGTCCCACATGCCCAGGACAGTTGTCCACAGGTTTGCAGGGAGGGAGGAATCGTCATTGGCAGCTTCTCTTCAGCATTCTTCCTACTCTTGGTGTGGCCCTCTGCAATGGAAGCTTCTGTGTTGTTTCCTTAAAATAATACTTTTCCTTACCATGTGTGCTACATTCTGAGATTTAAAAATTCCATTTTTATCATGCCCCATTTAAAAATTAGCCAGGTGTGGTGGCACACATCTGTAGTTCCAGGTACTCAGGAGATCTGAGCAATAGAGTGAGATCTTGTTTCTTAAAACATTGCTATGATCACTGTATTTGGCCTGCTCCAGGGCACATTCTGGAGTGATGCTGGCACCCAGCATAGTTGCCCTGCTGGTTCTGAGTCCGTGATTTTTGTTAGTGAGAAGCAGAGGTGAGAAGATGCAGTTCTAAGTGTCTACTTTTTACACCCCGGCTTTCACTGGCTGGTCCCAGATCAGACCTAAGGAGAGAACCATTATTCCCATCTGCTCTGCCCAGCATCCTGCTCTATGTACATTCCATGATTGACTGTATAATGGTTTCCCCCATTTCCATAATCCACTGACTTTGTTGTGTCCCTGGAGATAGGTACTTGGCTTACTGACTCCATAATGAAAGGAGAAATCTTAAGTCTAAAATGTTTAATTCCCCTTGAAAACTCTCCTCACAAGCTTCCCTCATATCATTGTGATTGCAGATTTCATCCTTGCTGGCCCGTCCCGAGCCCTCAGAGCTGAGCTATAGTGGAATTTGCCCAGAGCGTAATTAAACTTCCATAACTCTGTGTGAGCCTGGTCTAGGGCAGCCCAGCTGTGATTTCCTGCAACATTTCTTTGGAAATAAGGATTGTTCTCCAGAGCAAATCCTATAGAATCCAGGCCTAGAGTGATCCAAAGGGCTTTCCCACCCCATAGCCTTGACTTCCTTAGAAAATTGGAGCCAGAAAATCTTTTTAAGCTGTAAGCAACTCTAAAGGCGGCCTTGGAAATTTGCCCACGCAGATGGTTGCACATGTTCCCTTATCAAAGCTACAACTTGCAAGGCACCTGGAGTCTGTAGCCTTTAGGAATTACCTGCTCTGCTCCATGAAAAACTGTCCAGAAGAAGAGCAAAGTTAGGAAGATGCACACAAAGAGAGAGGGTATAGATGGGGTTGGGTGAGATGGAACCAGGAGGATGAAGAGGAGAGAGAACATTGGCACTTGAGCACATTATGCTGATTTGTGATTTTGATACTATCCATGCAGGAGAATGTTAGCAGGAGAGACTTAGAGGAAAGATCTTTGAATTATGTCAGATGAAGCCAGAATATATACAGTTGTTATCTGTGCTCCCTAACAGCAGTTAGACCAGTTGTCCTTCTTGCATTTCAACCTCTCCCTCTTTTTAGAGTTCTCAAGATTCCCTGTTTAGAGGGAGATTAGAGGCATCTCGCCTTAATTGACTAATCAGCTTTTATCATTTCACAAGTTAAAACTTTAGGCCATTCTGCTGATATTTGGGTCTGGTGGGAAGACTAGCTCACTAACAGCTGAGAACTATTCTCCAGTAGAATAAGATCCTACTGGAGGCAGGAGTTTAACAAGTCCGGGCTGTGCACTGATGATGTTGCCATCATAGGAAGCATGATATGTACACATACAGACCCCACTATCCCCAGACAGCACTGTGGTGGTAAGTTAAGCATCTGAAAATGGGACCCCAGATGGGCCTCTAAGGGCGGTGTAGAGATGTGGCCAGAGTGATGCTGAGAGTGCAGAGAGAGGGGACGCCAAGAAGAAAGTGCCCACCTCAAGTCTGTGCTAGTTAGCTGGAGATTAAGGAGAGCATTCTGCTCAGGAGCACCAGTCAGTGGAGGAAATTCAAAGAAGGGAAGAAAAGTTCCCCAAACTCTAGTATCTGAAAAGTCTCTGTCCAGTGTCCTGATGCTCAGGAGTGAGGAGGCGTGTGTCAGTCCTGGGGATCCCTGAGATGACAAAAACCCCACAGCCAGGTCATGTTTTCATTCTCAAGCTAACTCTCACTGGAGATTTCACCTGGGCGGCCCCCAGCACCCTCCTGCCTCTCCCTTTATCTTTGTTCTAAGGCGTGAATTCTATCTAAGCCCTCTAAACAGGCATCATCTTCCCTGTTTGGAGAAAGAGAACTGAGTGTGGTGGGCTTAGCAGAGGGACCCAGCAGGGAACAGAATCCTGCTGAGTCCGTTCAGAGTGAAGCAGGGTTAACAAAGGGACCTCCGCAGAGATGAAGGTAGC